TAGCCTATCCTATTTAGCACTCACCGCACAGAAAATCTGGAATGCTACAGGGGCTATCATAGGGTATGGGAAGCAAGAGAAATCTAATTCAGTTGGCCTGGCCCACATGCCTAAGTCTGGATTCAATCTACCATTTTTTAGTTCACACAAAAAACATTTCAAAGAAACAGTGTTTTCCTGCTTCCTAGTACCACTCTGATATATTTCCAGTACATAAATACATAAAGTGAAGAGTAATAACTGTTGATTTTTTTCCAGTCGCTATATATATGTAAGAGATATACATATATATGGCCTAGAATCCTACTGGTGTTTGCATAATGCTATATGACTTGCTGCAGCTAACTGAAACTAACTGACATGGAATAGAGCCCTATAATGCACCACTGATTGTGCAACCAGACACATAAAAAAGAAATAACCAGGCACCAAATCATTTTGCCAGATTTAGTTATGGCAAGTTATGGAAATCTGGCATGGACACCAACAAGATCACAGCCTTTAAGTACGACTTACAGTGGTGTCTTGCGAGACAGTTACTCCGCATGACAGATTTTTTTGCTAGACATTGGCTTTTTGTGATCGCTATAGCAATTCGCAAAACAGTGATTCCTATGGGGGAATTTCGCTGGACAATGTTTGGTCCCTGCTTCGCAAACCGATTTTCACTAGACGACAATTTTGACAGCTCCCTCCGTGCTCGCAAAACAAGTGTTTTGGGGACCTAAGCTTTGCAAGACAGCGATTTAAACAGCTGATCGGCGGTTTGCAAAGCGGCTTTCCTATGGCCAATCTTCGCTAGACAACGACGATTCTTCCACATTGGAACGCATTAAACAGGTTTCAATGCATTCCAATGGGGAAATGCTTTTCACTAGACAATGATTTCGCTAAACAGCAATTTCAGTGGAACGGATTATCATCGTCTAGCGAGGCACCACTGTATTTATGTTTTAGACAATTGAGAACACTGGAGCTTACAGGAAAATATAATGGAATAGATTTCTTCAGCCTTTCCTGTTAAAAGCTTTTACATACTGCATATATTTTGCCTGGCATATGTTCTAAGGTGCCAATTACATTGGTAATTTTTAAATTAAAATGCTTTACAATGTATTGGACCAAGCCCAGACAATGTTAGTCACACTTCACTCCCACTGAAATAAACTGAACTTCAAAAATTGCTATTTTCTTGCATTTATTTTAATGTAACCTCAGTGTAACAGGTTGCATGCAACCTTACACCTACTTATCATATATATCTGAGGGAACATGTACTAATTTTGTTGCTACTCTTGATGCAAAGGCAATATCTAACACATGCCAAAGGAATGATTTTTCCCATCCAATTTTATTAAAGGAGAGGAGAGAGATAAGACTTCTCAATCACAACTGTTTTTCACAAGGGTATTCTGGATACCTGTTACCAAAATATTCAGAACGATAAATAAGATTCCTTTACGTATCCATCTCAGGACACTCCACAGGATTAAAGGGTAATAGGTTCCTGAAGCTGGCCCTACTCAAACACTGTGCCCATTTGCCCACTCCTCCTTTGGTCAATATACACCAAATGAACACATCTACAAGAAGAATCCCCTGTAATTGTGGAAGCTCCTCTCCACGATGCAGGTCTCCTGAGTGCACAGAGGAACTTGTCCTCTGTGCGCTCAGGCCAGCTGCCCCTTCAGAACATTGCTGAACCCCCAAAGGCTAGAGGGCAAGTCAGGCAAGCATGACATCCATCCATTCCTGCTACTCTGACTGTGCGGGGCACTTTCATGTGGATAGTGGTCAGTAAACTGTTGTGTAGCTGCACCAGCACAAAGGGAGTGATGTTTCAAACAGTAGAATGTTGCCACCAATTATTAATTTCAGGTAATGTACAACTCACATATAATGAGATGAAGTTGCAAACAATTGGAAAGCAAAGGAGAAACTTGAATTAGCAGCAATCTCCTGCTGCCAGTGATATCACTCCTGTTGCACCAGTGACACTATGCAACATTTTACAACATGTAAAGAGGGTTATAGTTTTGAACAGTCACTGAACGCTACATGGATTAAAACAAAATATCTGTTTATTTTTTTAAAAAAGCATAGGCTTTATAATTGCAGGTGCAGAAAGAACACTAATAGCTCTTCTAGCAAGCAGAAGATCCCTGCCATAAGGATCACTAGAGGAACAAGACATCCTGTAAACAAACTTATATTCTTTTCATGCAAACCTGGTATTACATACAGTTACTGATGCATACATTCTAATTAATATGCTTCCCTTTGGGTCTTTTTAAGAAGAAAGGTGGGGTAAAAATATTTTAAATGAAATGGAATAAAAGAATAAAAGAATAAAACAAACAAACAAACTCTCTAATGCACATACAGTGGTGCCTCGCTTGAAGAGGATAATTCGTTCTGTTCAAATCGCTGTTAGGCTAAATCCTCGTCAAGCGAAATTTAAAAACCCATTGAAATGCATTGAAAAACAGTTCAATGCATTCCAAAGGGCAAAATACAAAACCCATTGAAATAGCCTTCATAGGGCCGCCATTTTCCGGTGCCTGTAAAGTGAGGAATCCGTCCTAAAGCACAGCAGGAGGCCATTTTAGAGCCGCCGATCAGCTGTTTTAAAATCGTTGTCTAGCGAAAAATCAGTTCCCGAAGCAGGGAACTGATCATCATTAAGTGATTTCCCCCCCATAGGAACATTGTTTTTTCCCCATAGGAACTTCATCGTAAAGCGTTTTTGTCGTTTAACGAGGTAATTGTTAAGCGAGGCACCACTGTACATAGCTTCATCTAGTATAGAGGAAAACAGCAAAATCCTTCAGGCAAATCAAATACACAGGAAATCACAGGGTTCAATCCTGCCTTATCTTTCTCTACCATCTTTACCATCTACACCAGCTTAATGTTCCTACACACAGAAATCATTTCCATTCATTAGTTTCCTTATTACATACAGGATAAGGTCTTCAACTTTTATTTGTAAAGACGGAGATTATTTTAAAATTGTACAGAGGATGAACTACTCTAAGCATGTCAAGAGAATGTGGAAACATTGTAAGAAGGTACTAAACTGAGATACTCTGCAAGTTGCAACAACTGATAGTTTCTCTCCCACTTCAGTTCCCCTGAGGATTTGGAAGTTACTTCATTCACTGAAGTAAGATCAATATTTGGCTGAAACCAGATTCCATGCAACAGAACTCTTTATTCGAACTTGGGTCTTTTTCAAAGAGTAAGGTCCAATTTTAAAAGTTGAAAAAAAGGATAGAATTCAAGGTAGCTACTTCCCCAGACATCACTGCTCAAGTCCCTTTTTCTCACCATAGGCAGACTCCAATCTTAGAACCTGGCCAGGAGAAAAGCATTTGGGTTCACCAAATGCAGGGAGATACTCCATTAGAAAGAAGGAGAAGGATTCAACTCAGGGCACACAATTGCCTCATCTGTTCTTCAAATCAACCTTGCAATATCTAATTTATATAAGTGGAGCAGTTTTAGGAACTAAATAAATGTTACTGCAAGACCATGATTTTGTCTAAGGCTTTAAGCCACTCTGCAAGTATAGCAGTCTTGATCTAACCATTGTTATACCATTATGGCTACACACAAAACCTGGTATATTATCAACATATAATCTGCTCTTTTCCCCAGTAATATGGGTTTGGAATTAAAATTTAACACAAAAACGATACCTTTAAAGCACCTCCCACACACATATACAAAATCATTAAATATTTTATGGTGAAGGCAGGTATTATTCCATCTCTAGCAGCCGTAAATTAATATAAAAAAGGGACTATGTACAGAAAATATTTTAAGTTGCCATCAATGACTTAGATAACACATTTCTAAAAATACATTGTTCCCAAAAATGTTTTAGTAGTGAAACAAATGACTAAAACACGACTTAAGAAAATTTGAACTTTCAATTACCTTCCCCCCCCCCCAGATCTCTTGCCCTGGGCACATCTCTTTGGGCACACTGGGGGTGAAATCCAATTAATTTTCCACCCTGTTGACTGGTTTGTTTCTGTCAGTAGAACCAGGACAGAAGGCACCCCACCTCCTTCTACCCCATCCAATGTGCCAAAAAACTCTACTCTGGAGGATTAGACTCAATGAAATGTTTCCACTTTTCTACTCTGCAACCATTGAGAGCTGACCAAAAACTGCCTCCTGCCCTTGAAAAAAGGTGCAAAAACACCTTTTCTTTTTTTTTCTAAGGTGAACACACCTCACATGCAGTAAGACAAAGTCATGTGCATCCCAAAATTGGAAAAAAAAGTCTTTAATGAGTGGCAATCTGATGCTGCTGCTGACATTATTTCCACTGCGTAGGTAGAACACAGTCAACAAAATTTCAGGCTGGAACTCTGATTGTACATGACTGTTGGCTGTATTAGCTGGAGTTGATGGGAGTTGCAAGCCAAAATATTGAGAGAGATGAAGCTTAGGGAAGCTTGTTGTAAATCATGGATAGTTATATAGTAGACTTAGTTAAAAGTTTTACATACTAACTTTAAACAAAATATATGACTCAGAAACCAATAAATTTAGATATCTGGGGGGGGGATCAATTTTTCCCATCAAAAACTCATAGTTCAGAAAAAATAACATTCTTCCACAAAACATAGTTGCTATCCAAAGAAAGGTTTTTATGTATCCTTAACTTAAGCATCCAAACAACTGGGACTCGCCATATTTTTGGCACTGTGACGCCAACAGCAGCCTAATCAAGCTGAACTATGGATTGTCATGTCTGCAGCCCACAACCACTGTGCATGCTCTAATTGCATTTTCAAAAAAGGTGTAGCTAAAAGAACAGTCTAATTATTGTCAACAATGTATTATTATAGGCATTCTCAACCCCAGCCCCGCTTTTTGTTTAATTTGAAAAAGATAGTCTAGATTCTAGGACATAACAAGCAGATTTCTAATTGTTTGAAAATCACAATAACTTTGCACAATAACACACACACACACACACACACCTGTTGCCATGTGGCTTTCGACAAAACCCACAATGTTTACTAGGTACCCAGGGACTTTTGCTTTCACTGGGAGAGAGATGTTCTGAGCTCTCTTTTTTAATAGAAGAAATGTTATCTGGAATGAATAATGGTGGCTCATCAAATGAAAGGCTTTTGCTGCTTCTCCTCTGCCGAGGTTGAAGATTCTTTTCCAATTTTCTAAGCTTCAGTTTTTCTTTTTCATCCTCTTTCAAAGAATCAACAGAAACTCCCACGGTATCTTTTTTCCCACCTTCTTCCTTAACACAGTTATTTGTTTTGGGAAGCTGATGTTTCTGAAATTGTTTCTGGTTGTGGTGTGACAAGTGCCCTTGTTTGTGATGCACTGGCCCTGATGTTATGTGCATGGCTTCTTTTGAGCCGCCATCATGGCTAGAGGACCTGTCAACTATTTGCTCTGTTGACATTTTCCGTACATGTGCCGGGCTATGGACCCGTGGAACATGTCTCCCTAAGACATGGGATTGCTTTTTTAGGGTTATTCCGGAATCACAGCTTTGGATCTTCACATCCTTGTCTACATTTTTTTTCTTAGCTTTCACTGGTTTGTGAAAATGCTGAAGATCCCCTTGCTCCTCTGCATGGCGCTTCAGATTTACTGAAGAGTGTCTGTGAACACCCGGAAGAATTTTTCTTTTAGCAGGAACCTCTTGGTCTTCAAGAACTAGTTTTTGTTGGGTTAATTGATTTTTATTTTTCTTGTCCTTGGCATGTTTGGTCTTAACATTTTTTACACATTTTGATGAAATGCCAGAGACCCCATCCTCTTGCAACCCGCCAGTCTCATGCTCTCCTGTTTTTTCAATGTTTGCCTCCTGATGTTTACCTTGGGCTGGAATGTCTTGAACTGTAATGTCTTCTGAAGTATTTGTTTCTGATTCTGTAGAAAAAGTATCATTTTTTGAATGGATCTGATTAAGTCCCACGCTACTACCTAAAGGAGAAGAAACTTTCAACTCCATACTACCACCTAAAGGGGAATCATCTTTCAACTCTGTCTTTTTAGCATCCTCAAGAGATTCTTGCTTTTCTTCTCCTGGCAAGCTGATTTTACTAACAATATCTGCACTATTCTGTAATCCAGAACTGAATCCAGCCTTTTCCTCTGCAATGTCAGAATGAATTATAAGGTTTTCCTGAATTCCACTTGCATTTGCATCAGCTCTGGTAACAACAGGAATAGGAACCATTCCAATTTCCTTTTTTTCACCATCCATCTTTGCTTCACTCTGCTCTTCAACAGTTTTATGGTCCATTTTTTCCTCAACCACAGACGTATCCTCTTCATTTTTAATGAATGAATTATTTTGTACTTTAACTGACTCTCCAGAAATAGATACTGTCACTTCCTCAGACATGCAACCATGTTCCTTTTCTAAAACAGCTTCTGTGCCACTTTCTGATTCTTTGGCTGGGGAACTAGTCTCTGGTAAGTGAGATGAATCTCCTGCTTCATAAGCAGCAGCTCTTGCTTTGTCTTTATTAGGAGATTCCTGTGCAGAATCTGCTTCTGCTTCAGGTGAATCTTTGCAACTCTTGACCTGTTCTGAATCAGCTGAAGTCAGTGGTGTTACTTTGGATGCTTCTTGTTGCTGGCAGGGTTCAGCACTCTTGTGCTCTACTTCTTTTGAATGGCCTTTAGCAACACCATCTTCCTGTTTTGTCTGACCCCTATCCGGCTGTTTCAGTCCTCCCTTTTGGGCAGATCCAGATTTCACAGCTGACTTCTTTGTGGGAACAGGTGGAGAAGCATTTGAACGCTTGGCTAGCGTGCTTTGTCTCAAACTCCGTGCTGGTTCTATTAAAAGAAAAATAAAGGTATTGACTATTTTTATTCATCTTCCCTAAAATAAATTACACTAAGAATAAAATTTTGATCGCTACACTAAATTACCTTTCTAGTTTAACACTATGAACAAAAAAAGCTGAAAGGACCTTAAACATATGTTCACGTTAGTTTAAGATATGGGGTAGTTTGCTCATAAAATTCTCAAAGAAATATCTCTACAAGTTATGAAGAATAAACAAAATGATTCTTGAAGACTTTCAGTCACTAAAATACAAACACTACAGAATCAAGTATCACAGTTTTTATGTTAAACAACTTAAAGGCTTACCAGAGAACAACAAAATGCATTCCGATTCAACTCTTTACAGGCATGGCCAAGGATACTATTCTGCTACCTGTTATCCATACTTGAATCGAAGTTATCTTTGTCTGATTATGTAGGCACAGAATTACTGCTAAATCTTTCAAGGAAATACTTACTAGGGCCAGCTAGATCCTCATATATTAATAATTCCTCAATACCTCTGCAAAGAAAGTTCAGAGCAAATACTAACTGGCTGCTATTTAAAACTAAATTCAAAGTATTTGTAAATAAAAATGTATAACATGTTTGTAAGTAATAATAATAAAATGATAACACAGTATAGAACTATATGTAGATATCTGAAGAGATTCCTTGAATAACAGATGAACATTTTCAGACACTTTCCCAGCGATCAGGTTTTTCATGAAAAGTACAGAAAACGCCCCACTGTAACCGTGTATTTCCTCTGAACAATTTACCTTGTGTCATTAAACGTGGAGACTTTCTTGGTGATTTGAGTGTAGTGCCGTCCATTTGGTCCCTCAATTTCCTGTTAGATGAAAGATCATCTTCATCAGTTGTACTGTGGGCAGATTCTTTAGCTCCTTCATCCATAATATCATCAAGTCCAACAACTAAAAAAATGAACAAAACAAAAATCCTAAACCTTAAAAGATCTATTAAGGCTACAATATCATGAAAGTAGATGAAGACACCTAAAATAAAATGATGGGTAATGGAAGGGTAAAATAAGATTTAAAGCATGACTAGGAAGTATGATGTACAGATTTCCCACAAGGTAATACAAATAGTCATCTAGAGCAATATATTTCTCATACATGGACCTTCAGAAAGAGTCATAACCACTTTTAATGGACTCACATTTTATTGATATGCCACAGGAAGCTCTCAGTCCTTAAAGGATCAGCTGTCCCCTCACTGTCCCTTCCCACCTAAGAGAAAGAGAATTTAACAATGGAGAAAGCTGATCCAAAAGTGAAAATCTCCTTTATCCATAATTTTAGTAGCCTTTTTTTCTTTTTTCTTTAAATCTAGAATGAGTTAATCTGCCTCTGTAGCTTGATAATTATCAATAGATTATTTGTCTGCTGAACTTCTACCCAAAGCCTAACAATCACAGCTTAAGGCTAAAACTCTATGCATACTTAACTAGAATATGCCTCACTGAACTCATGGAATTTACTCCCATGTAAACATGATCAGGATCAGGCAGCCTGTTACGTTCATAACCCCTTCTGTCAGAACACATATAAAGTGTGCATGCCAGGAATGCAGAAAATGTGATCCACCAAATGGAACATTCGGATTGCATGTATCACTACCTCCCATATAGCTTGACAATTCCTTGATTTTGCAGTCCAAGATGAGCAGTAAATTCAGTAGATTTAGTGATACCCAATGGGGTCATAACCAGTGCAGGAATCATGTACACCATCTGTTGTGAAATCCAGCTTGATTTTTTAAATGATTCAAGTACACAGGTCACAAAGCCAACTTACAGAAATCTATACAGATAAAATGTTGTTTGTAATACATTCCTAATCTGTGGAAGATCAAAAACAACATGCAAACAGAAGAACGCAGTACCAGATGGTATCTTTATTCCTTCACAAAACAAGACACATTGATTATTATGAAAGTCATAAAAAAATCAATGTTTAAATCATAATTAATGGCAGCAACAAAACTGGAGTAATTTAAGTCCTGTTTTCATTAATATTTCTTCCAAAACAATGGTGCAGATCCACTCACCAAACAATGATTATTTACAACTAAAAACCTCTAACAGTTGTATTATATACGAGGGGCTATTCTGTATTCTTTTAAGAAGGTAACTTATTTCTACTGGTTTTAGATCATGTTAGAGATCACTACAGGGGTATCTTAATCAAAATGTTTCTGTTTAATAGGCTAAATGTAAATATTTATGTTTGAGAACTGATCAGATTCATCATGGACTTTAAAAAGTTTCCTTTAACTCTATCATCTAAGCTATTTGTCAGTTCCAAGTAGGGGAGGCACACTTAATCAAAGGGATTTACAGAAGTCCCACTAATTCACTATGTCTGTCAAACTGGGAACAAGAATTGGATTCAGCCCAATTGCTGAAATTTTGTTGCTTAGCATACAAAGTCACGGAGTAGGTCCACTGAATCCTTGGGGATTTCATGAGTCAACTCCTCCATAAATTCCATTGATTTAAATAGGTGTACTCAAGTTGCAGCTTACTTGAACAAAGTAAATCACATTTGACTTTCCTATAAGTAAGAAGCGCAGCTTGATTATTCAGACAGCTTTGGGGCCATCAAAGCTGACTTCAGTTTTGCTGAAATAAATTTTAAATAGCGGACACTGAATGTTATTCACCTGTTTCAATAGATTTCCTGCTATTATCATTATCATTATCATTATCATTATCATTATCATTATCGTTATCGTTATTATT